AAAAGTATGCTTATCAAAATAGTGATAGCCTTAAATATATACTATTTATGAATTTTAGTTAAGACTGTTGTATATTTAATGTACAAACACGATTCATACATACTTTTATGAGCAACAATGACTTATTATTGTATCGTTTAACAATTTACCTGTTTTTGGTTAGTTTAGGACTGAAATAGACTTAGACACAATTTCCTACTACTATAATAGGGATACTTTTTTTTTTTAGAGAATGTATTCTAGAGCTTCTATTCTAAAACAAGCTTCACATTTGTTTTTACTGTGATATTAGTTTCGATGCGAAGCTGAGAAGGGATTGGTTTTACTAAGATGTGTTTATTTTTTTATTTTTCTTTGTGTCTGTTACCACTTTTTCTCAGCTCTCACCGAACCAATTTCTTTCAATGATACGTCAATAGATCACAAATTGTATCTAGTCGAAGACATTACCCTCAAAAATTGAAAAAAATGCCCTCATTCCCAGTAAATGGGGGAAACCTCCAAAAAAATTACAAATTTAAAAATCGCTAATTTTCGAAATTTTTTCAATTTTTTTTACTTAAAACTGCCATAACTTTTTCAAAAATGAACATATCAATATAATTTTTTTTTATATAGATGTGTAATATCATTACTTTTCGTATGGTATATTTTTTTCATAAATTTAACCCTTAACCTGCCCACAAGAGGGTTTTTAAAATGACAACTTTTTCAACATAATTTTTGAAAATGTTCCGGAAGGTCTGACACTTTTATATATATCTTAATAAGCTTAAATAAGCTAATGTAATATTCTTTATTATGCAAAAAAAAATTTCGGACTTTATTTTATCTTCACGGTGAAAATGGCTACCGAATGCTATTTTTGTGTGAAAATTTTCGATTTTGTATTTTACATTTTTAACTTTATTATGCTATAACTTTTTGAAAAATGTATGGATCAGTACAATTTTTTCATGAGGAGTAGTATTTATATACATCTTTCATTTGACATACTGTTTTTTTAAATCCGACCATTTCCCTATATACGAGGGGGGTTCAAATCTAAAAAATGCATGTA